ATCATGATCATCATCATCATCATCACCATCATCATTATCCTCATTATTTATTCCACATTATCATCATCCGGATTATCATGATCGTCATCACGAAGATAGGCTATTCTTTTGCGAAAGCCTACACAGAAGAGACCTAACCAACCTTATTAGCTGTGTCGCCCCCCTCGCCCTCTCCCCACCTCTCGTAGTCATCGTCGTCCCTTTCTTCACCTTCGCTCAAAGGCCCATCTTGTCTTTTACTCGGAGGAACGTTCGACCCTCCGCCACCCTGCTGATGCTCCATCACGTCGTCCCCGCCCTCGAGCATCTTGTTGATCTTTTCCTTCGCTTCGTCGACCTTTCTCATCGGATCGGGTGAGTAACTACGATCGCTGTATCTATCGCGGGAAGCGGCACGACGATCTCTGAAGTCTCGCCTATCTCGGAAGTCGCGGAAGCCCTGCTTACCGTGGAAAAATCGACCGCCACGATTACCACCACGTCCGCGTCCACCACCACGATTATTGAAACCACCGCCACGTCTATTGCCAAAGCGATTGTTATGCTGATTATTATAGAACCGGTTGCGATTTTGGAAATTGTTACCACCGCCACGATGGTTCGGATTGTTGAAGCCCTGGAAACGGGGCTTGTAGTAAGTGCCGCGGTTATTATACGGCCGAAATTGTCTCTTGCGATAGTAACTCCTATCACCGGACCTGCTGCGGCTACGACTTCTGGTATAAGATCGGGAACGCGATCTAGAACGTGATCTACTGTAAGTGCCTGATGGTGACCGACTGTACTTTCTTTCGTAACTTCCGGATCTGCGGTTTGAGTAGGATCTTGAACGGCTTCTTCTTGGTGAACGAGACCTCGAAGAACCTGAACTGGAGGCACTGCGCGATCTGCTGCGCGAACGTTTCGCCGGCCGGTCTCTGCTCATTCGTTTCGTTACAGCTCCTCCTCTGCCCGTTGACTCGCGTTTCTTAGGCGTCTGTCTATGTTGTCTTTCTGTCTCGCTGTCAGAATCTGTTCTGGGTCCTTTGGCCTGGTTTTGGTTTTTCGCTGGTGGAGGAGGACGCGGTGGTTCTGGTGGATGGCCAGCACCACTGTTACCACTCTGTCCAATCGGTTGAAACTTGCCACCAAGATTGTTATTTGAACTGAACTTCGTCGGTGTTGTTTGCGGCGCCGATATAGAAGGATCCTTGTATGACTGGAATTTGTTCTGCGGTTGTGGTGTAGGATATTTCACCGGTGCCTGTTTTGGCATCGGAGGTTCTTTGGGCAATGGCGGTGGAGTCGGCGCGGACATAGGCTGAGCAGCTGCTGCTCTCTTCTCTGCGAGTTCACGCTGCATTTGCTTGCGTATATTCATGGACTTTTCCAACGCCGCACGCTGCAATTTCTCTTCGAGCTCATTATCATCGTCCTCGTCGCTATCGACATTGGATTGCATCTTTTTGTTCTCTGGCGGAACATCTTGCCATTTTTGTGGGAGAACATCCTTTTGTCTGTCAAATGAAAGTACCACGATTTAAGTGTAATACACTGAATGTAACTTAAAATATAATGTAACTTTAGAGTTGATAAAAATTCCTTACCTAGCAGCTTGTGCAGCTTTCCATTTCGCATTTAATGCAGCCGTGTCGAGAGTAGGTAACTTCGGTTCCGGATGAATCAGTTGCGATTCTTGTTCAAATATGTCTGTCAGTGGTTTCCTTTGAATCTCTGTAAAAAGAAATTAATTAAAATAAAACGAGTACATATTAGATATAGAAATTACAGATTGCGCCCTTTTTCCTGCAACAGATTCAATTCTTACCTTTACGTTGCTGTGCGGTCATTGGTACTCTAGCTTCCCGTTCGTGATACGCCTTTGAAGCTTCATCTCTCTCTCTCTCCCTCTCTCTGCGCAGCTCTTCTTCCCTTCGTGAACTTTCAGCGAGCTTCTCCGCGTTGCTAAGAGGGGAAGCTATGTCATTATACTGAGCTACATACCTAGTAAATATAAAAACATAAATAAAATACGATAGGTTAAAACCCGCGTTTCCATTCATGTATCTTTAAAAAGTTAGATTCACCGTGGAAAATTAGCTAAGGGAACAGAAACTAACTGCAGCAACGAAAACAGTATCTACATCTTTATAAATAGAGATAAAAATTTCGTAAAATTAAACAACCAAAACGGAAAAGATGGTCACGAACTGGCCATAAAGGTTCCAACCTTTTCAAGACAGCAGTCTCTTTTTCAACTTTTGCATAATACGCATTCAGTTTTGATTCCAATTGTTCTAAATCCGGCAACGAAGACTTTTTTAAGGCTTCTAAATCACGTTCAAGCTTGTCCTTATTTTTGCGTTTCTTTCGCTCTTCTTTCTTCTTCTTCTTCCTACTTTTCTTATCCTCTTTCTCTTTGTCCTTTCCTTTCTTTTCTTTTTTCTTCTTCTTCTTCATTTTCTCACTTTCTGAATGTTTCTTTTCCTTCTCCCTTTCCCTCTTCCACCTAGCCGTTTCTTCCAAGAATTTTCTAACCTAGTAATGTAAAAAGAAAAATAACAACTAAATTGCAAAAAGAGAAATAAAATAGATTAAAAAAAAAAAGAATATAATTCTTACTTTGTCCTCATAATCAGAGTCGTCTTTAGTCTGTTCTAGGAATTTCCGTACTTTTATCTCGTAATCATCCATCTTATCACGAGTATTGGAGCTGTAAGACACTGGAGCGATTACGTCATGTGCAGCTGTGGTGGCAGCTGGTGGATTGTTGTATTGGGCCATTCGCTTGCTGAGAGGTGAAAGCGAGCCGCGATGATCTTTTTTATGTTTCCGCTTGCGACTAGGCGATCGGGACGCTGATCGTGAACTTGCGGATGAAGAAGAACTGCTGGACTCGGAGGAACTGGAACTCGAAGATCCACTCGATGATGAACTGGAACTCGAACTCCATCTTTGTCTCTTCTTGGAACGCGATTTCCTCTCTTTCTTGCGTTTCTTCTTTTCTTTCTTGTTTTCGCCGACATCGTTCTCAGTTTCGAAACTCTTGAATGTATCCAAAGGATTCAAAGAAGATGTTAAGGTCTTAGACTTGATGTACTCGATAGAGTTTCTAGCTTCTTCGTGGAATGGAGCAATCGCCAAACAATTTTCGTATGCCTTTTGAGCTTCCTCATACTTCTTTTCATCTTCGTAACTTCGACCTAGAGCAACCAGAGTCTCAGCCATGTATTTACGTGCGTTCGTATGAGTTTGATTCAACTTCAACGCTGTCTCAAAATCATCGATCGCTTTCTTGAAACTGCCGCTATTAGCAAATCTGTAACAATCAAGATATGTATATATAAAGTATATGTGTATAAAGTATAGGTAGGTAATTTGGGATAAATTTAAATGTTAAGATATAAGTTGCGACTTACAATGCTCCACGTGCCACTAAACCTTCGACGTTTCGCGGGTCTACGGTAAGTGCCTTATTGAGACACTGGAAGGCTTCTGTATGACGTCCAGCCTTGAAATGATCTATACCTTCAGCCACGCTTCGGAATGCCCACTTACTGGCCTGCGCTTGTCTCAATTCGGATGCATATTCATTGGGTGGGAATCTTTCTCTGTAACAAAAAAATTTTTTCTCCAAGTTATATATGGTAAGATAATTTAATCGATCAACTACTAATAAAAAGAAATGAATATATAGGATCAATACTTTACCTCAAACCAACCATATTGGAGTGGTTTTCTTGACCGAGACCCATCAAGTCGCAAAGATATTTAATGTTGTTTGGGTTGTTGAAGCCAGTACTATTCTCCAACATCGCTTCGTAAGACTGTCCTTTGTTGTCCATTGCTTTCCTACACCACAAAGAGAAACGACCAATTATCAAGATGCAAAAGTCATTTTGTCCTTTGCCAAAAAGAGGATACCAAAGCTACTTCGTTAACGGTAAAACTAAAGACTTGATAATCATGACGACCGAATCTCCACAAGATCTTCAGTTCATTTCTTGGCGATTTCTGTTTCGATCTGATTGTTTTCCCTTAATCTTTTTTTTTCCGACATCTTGTCGTCTTATATATATATATATATACACATATATGTATATTCATGCATATCAATATGCATGTCCTTTGTGCTGTTATTCCTTGTATATGCTAATGTACACCACACCCTTCATCATTTTATTCGTCCCTGCGTAATCATTTCGTCTTTTTTTTCGATCTACATGAATTATTCAACGATACGACACTAATGCCAAAGATGCTCCAGAGAAAGAAAGTTTCTTCGATTTAGAATAAAGATATTATCAGACACCTCATGGTATTAGAGTCGATCAAAATCTACGTTTGTACCGTTAACAAGCAGCAGGGGTCCGAAACGGGTATACATTGCAGAAAGTTTGGTAGACTTCCTTTATTACCAGATTATTTCTTATGTATAAATTTACAATGGTACACAACCTCATTATTATGTAAACTCGTCTCTCACCTTTCATGTACCGCTAAGACGTATATTTCTAGTATTTTGTATCATGTTTGTAATCAGAGGATTTCTCAACACAAAAGCACACAGCCTATCATCAATCGATGGTGGTTTGGTTTTTATAAGTTTTTGGTGCGATAAAATAAATTGCATAGCCCTAGGATAGGTTGGGAGCCACGCCTGAGTATATTTTATCTTCCATAAGTTGACCAAAAAAATTTTTTTTTATATATGTAGTAGTACTGTCGCCTGTTTTTGCATTTTGTTGTGTCAATTCAAACATGACATCATTTTTTTATATTTTTTATTTGTCAATTTAAGCTGTAAGTTTAAATGAGGCATTATTATGACAAGGCGCAATTCTTTTGAGGCTTAAAGGTAAAGGTTTCGGGCGATTAAGATTTTAGTTATTTGGTCTCTGCTTTAACTTCTTGGGTAGTCCAAAGTTTTACTACAACTTCGTTACGCGATACATACAAAACATCGACAATACATTGACGTATCATGCATTTTAACTACACATTAAACTCGAATAAAAGGTTCACAAATATGTAAAAATATTTTAATGGAATATTAAACTACTATATAATATTTTTCAAATACTTTATTCTTTATTTATTTTATTGTTCGTTTATGATAAGAGACCAAACAACAGGAAATCATTATTATACCTACCGTCTGCAGCACTCACTCTGGCCACCCAAGGCTCAACATCTCATACTGGAAATGCAACCTCAAAAGACATTGATGTCATTTGGCGCCATTGTTTGGCTGGTGCTTTGAGAGTAACATATCACAAACGTAGATAGAATATTGTGCGCAACAGAGCCATGTCAACCAATGCTCAAGGTTTGAATCATTTGTATCACATTATAAATTCATCATCATACTGACTATCAACTTTTTACGTTACTGAGAGTGTCTGGCACCTAAATTCATAAAAACGTGTAAGAGGAATCAAATCTAATTTACCTTGTTTTGTTAGTATCACAGTGCGTCTGTTAAATCTCAACTTCTTTTGGCCACCGTACCATTTTCCTTACCTTCTTTTATAACGAAAAATATTAAACAAAACACTAAAGATGCAAATCTGTATTGTCGCGTATTATGCAAATTACAAATAGAATAACTACACTGTCGACAAAAGATGCATTTTCGACCACGATCGAAACTGTTATATTGATCCTAAATTCGAAACTACCAGTGTCAGAAAATATTCCCCCTGCCTTCTGTTAGTGCACAAGTGCTCTCAAGGTATATATGTATATATGTATATATCGCAATAAGCAAATGATCAGAGAACGATTTATAATATAAATAAAAATTTTGAGTCAAAAGTGCTACTGATGCATCACAAGACACTTTTACCATTTATATCGTGTATACAAAATTTCCTATAGTGATATACATATCAGTTTACAAGAGTTAGTGAAGCATTATTATAAATACAAGGAGTAAACGTACTTATCCAGATTTTTTATTACTTACTTATAAGCTTCTGGAAGATCATCAGAATGGATAAGTCCCATAGGTGGGTGTGGTGCTTGCCCTTCTCGGGCAGGTACGTTCATAACTGCAACAACTCGTTCGGCTTCAACGTTAACTTCACTGACTACGACGCAGATGAGGTCATTTGCCATGTAGCCTCTTGTTACACCTTTCTTGTCCACCGCCGGCACTGTGGCCGTGTTCAATATTAGAGCCTATAAAAAACAATATTATTTTTAAATTGGAGATTATATGAATATTTTATAATAAATAACACTGGAGGTCTCGCGCACGAATGTAAACAGTGCAAGTCGGCTACAGACACAGAAGAAAATTGAAAGAGCTTGTATGCCATAATGCCCGACTGTCTTTGTGTCCTTCCCAATCACGTGATTGGGAAGATAGGTCTAACTACACTGTTGGGCCGGTCAGTCCCATAAAGTAATATTCGCAATTACTTTATGGGCCAAACAGTACTGCCCAAGGATGAGTCCCTTACTTTCATGTCGTAGGCCCAAGGCCAGCGGAACGCGTCCTCTACAATAACTTAATATAGAGAAATTTAATATTAACCTTAACTCCTAAATCGGTAACAACTCTGGGGCAATCGCTGCAGTTGCAAAGCACCTTCAGAAGAAGCCCAGCAGCACTTTTACCCATCACTTGCGCGTAAATAACATCTCCAATGACCAAACTCTGAACAGAAATATATTTATTATAAGTTTGCCTTTTAGTTATCAAGTTATTTATTTTTATATAAATTGTTAAAATAATAGATAATCACCTCCAAAAAATTCCGAATACGTTGAGATTTTTCCATGGTGACAAAAGTATCAAGGCCTGGCATTGTTGCATAAAATTCTGAAACAACATGCACAACAGATTTATTGCACATCATTACGTAACACACGATGACTCATGCTGAGGTGTGTTAAAAAGAAGCAGAACTGTACCTTCATCTCCTAATTCTTGCTTAATAGGTTCAACTGTTTTCTCCAAATTTGATTTATCATAAAGAGCATCTGCCTTCTTTGCAAGGAACTGCTGTAGCTTTAGCCTTTTTCCTCTATCACCGAAACTGTTATGGAACAAAGAACAAGTTCAAATGTATGACTCATTTAGAAATACCCAATGTATGATTATTTATCTCAGAGATGTTTATCCTTCTTACGTACACGTACCTCAGAGTCTTTTGACGTTGTTGGTAGATTTCAAAATTTGGTTCCTTGAGATTAAGCATGGCCAGCTCGTTCTCGTTGCGTTCTCCCTCCCACACTTTCTGCAACTGTTGGCCATGGTAGTTCAATGCTTGCGCCACAAGACGCGCATCCATTGATTCCATTTTGATTCAGTACTGCAAGCAACCTAGTCCTGCAATACTATGAAAATCGACGGATTCGTAATGCTTTCTCTTTTTTCTCCAATATCCAAGATATTATTCAAATATTGGCAAAAATTTTTAATAGCTGCCTCTGATCGATTGCCCGAAATTGGCATGCAAAAAAAGACATCATCCAACAGCCAAGGACACGTGTTTGTAACTGATAAACGGCTCTCCACGGTGATATCCAGAAAATTCTGGTATTTCAATCGTCTAAGGATCGGTCGAATGATATAGCAGTAAAAACGTATCGGTTTTTGTATGGTTTCGTCGGCCATAAATCGTATCTCCAAAAGGGAATGGTATTCTGCGCAAGAACGCGCTCAGACAAAGCAAATTACCAAAAACCGGTTCCCTGAACAATTTACCTGTATCTGTTGATATTCCTCTGGCAGATCATATAAACGACGTAACAGAATAAATCTGTGAAATATTCGTTTACTCAAGAGAAACGCTTACATAGGAAGAAAGGCGCGTTATATTGATTTATCGATAACAAAATGGTCGTCGGGAAGCCGAATTGCCAAGGCTGATGGCGCCATGACGCTCCAAATGGCCCTCTTTCCAAAACTCATCCACACCCATTTCTTTCATGGGCATGCCTGACTGGCGAAAAAAAAACTCGGATTATTACTTACCGTTGCTTCTTTATTATCTTCCGACGATTTGTTAACGTGTTTTCCAATTATATCACTGCCCACTACGCAACATCATCGACGATTAAACAACTGCGCGCCTATATTTCACCATACGCTGCACAAGTCACGATTACGACAAAAGCGGAAGTGGAAGACTCGGAGCGCCTGCGTGATTCGCTTTTCGTTTTTTCTTTCCGAAGCTAGGAACTATGATATCACTTCCGCTCAATTGGCGGTCAATTCAAAACGTATGATTTCTTGTTAATGAAACATTTTTATTAAAATATGTATATTATTTATTTTCGTTTAAAAAATAACAAATATGATTCTTACAGTATATTTATTTCTATATTTTTAAGATACTATGATTTATAACAAATATAAAACAATAAATAATAACAATAAGTTCTGTATGTTCAAAATATTAATTTATTATATATTTATATATTAATTGTTAAATATATTCTGTTCTCATTCTATCAATATTAGAATGTAGGTGTTATTTATTTTCAATTCTCTATATATTCTCTTTCATTTTGTGATTTTCTGTTACTTCATTACTTCCCAGAATATAACAAATTTTATTAATTTACTTATTTAGCTTTCTTCATTGCATCTTTACTCTTTGCGTCTGCATTCCAATAATACAAAATTTGAGCAGCTATTACAGCATTTGCCGCAGTGGAACATATGTACATTATTATCATTGTCACATCTCCAGTTTCTTGGATAGATGTAAATATTCTTGCAAGAGATCCAAAAAAGAGCATAAAACCTGTCACTGCTGATAGCTGACCAGTACTTCCATTGGAGTAATTCGTATAGGCTTGCATTAACTAAAAATACATAAAATACATAAAATTATTATATATGTTTTCACTAACTGTATTATATAATTATATAATTTTCAGATAACATACCTTACTGACAAGAATGATGGGTATATTCATTGCCTGACAAGCCCAGAGAACATTCACTGAAGTTAACCCACTATTAGCAGCAAATAATACTGCTAGATAAGTAGCAAGAAATGCAGTTGCTTGAACTGTATCACCACTGAAATGCATGACTAAAATTGCAATTGTTAAAGTTTGTATACCTAGAAAAACTCCATCACCCCATGAACTGAAATATAATCATTCATCGATCAATTATAATATCTGTACATAAAAATATAAAAAATATTTACATATTTAACTGCATTACCTGAATGGAAAACCACTGATAAAACTGTAGGATACCATTGCACTGATGGCAAATAAGTCCAGTAATACACTGAATACATTGATACCTTTTGCACTTTTATTTTTAAGAATTTTCAAAATTTGTGGTACTTTAACTGAAAAGAGAGAATATAGATAATATAATGTTATGTACGAAATTAATTATAACACTCATATACAGTTATGAGCTATGATAATTAAAACGTTACGTAAAAACAAATTTTCTAACCGAGAAAGGAGCCACCAATGATTCCTAGACCTAAAACTTTGCTCAGCGTCGACTTGAAGCATCCAACTGAAACATGTTCAATATTTTCATGTTTTACTTGAAATGGTTCATATCTTCTGCGCAAGAAATTCATTTTAACTTTTATGGGAATTAATTTAAATCGTTACGAAGGAATAATGACTTCAAATTTATCGTTGGAAAAAAAATTGAATGTCGTCGAGCGCTCATCGTTACGAGTACTACAAGTTCGATTGTTCAAAAATCTATTTATTCAATGCAATATACGCCATAATATAATTCAAAAGAGTAAAATTTCGAGTCCTGTAAAAGTAAAAAAGAAATTAGGTCTCATACTTCTATTTTAATTGCGAGAAATTTTTATTTATAATGTATTTATAAATAAAGTTGTGTTATGCTTAATTTCGTGTCTATACATGTCAAAAGATTAATTGTATAATTACATCATAAAAATAATTATAAAAATTATGAGTATATATCTAAAAGTGTTATTTCAAGACTTTAATGCTTTCTTTTCTTTAACAGTAACAATAGTGTCACGTGATCAGGACACCGATCAGAGTGCATAGATCACGAAGAATTTACTGATCGCTGATGTATGAAATTTAAGCACTCACCATGAAAAAAATTTAAGTCATCAAAATATTCTTCCATGCATTCTTCTGTGAATAATAAACGGGCAAAGTTCTTGATTAATTGAGTCATATTTGTCACACATATGCACTGACGTCGTGGAATGTAAAGAATAGTCCCACCTCGTTGCGTTTCGACGTAAAGGTTAAGATAGATTGGTTTTACCGGAGACCTTTTGTACCGACTGATGAGGTGTCTCTTCGATCTGTGGCGCGCCATTTTGAATAACTAATACATTCATGAATGAACGCAATTCTCGTTTATTCCAATAATATGCATTTTTTAATAATATTCCTGGCATTTCTTTGTATTTGAAACAAACATTGATACATCAGTAATTCATGAATCATTCCACAAACAAATTATCAGTTTTAATAATGGGGTAATAACTCGAGCAACTTCATTTCTCAGCATTTTCAAATACTTTCTGTCACCGACAGTGACATGTTTATCCCTCAAACCATTCGTTTTACCCGAGTTCGCCTTTATCTCGTACTCTTTTCAATATTCCAGTAAGAATTGCATCAACATACAACTGTATCCTATCCTAAATGCAGTCGCACAGCTATATTCTATGATTTCCCACGTATATTGCACTACATCTAATGGTAAGCAATTCCCAAAAGTCTATAGCATTAATACAAAATTACGAAATGGACCGTGGAAGAATAATGGCTGTTTATCCGACATATTCGCGATATGGTCTCGCGACTCTGCCAAGGTACTCGCTATCTTACAAGCAATAATTCTTTGACGTTCGCGTTTATCTCACGCGACCATCAAACACAGCCGGAAGACCGATAACAAAAGCGCGTAAGGATCGACCGAATTCCAAAATGGTACGATAACGCTGTTATCGTACATTTTCAACAAATTATCAGCGTGAAATCGAACTCGGGCAATTAGCGATAGCAGGTCGAAGTGATTCGTCAGGTCGTCTCTTCACGCGAGCCGCAAGATGCGCTCGCATAAGTGGGTCAGAGGTTGTAGAGCAGAAGTGGTTAGGGTAACCCACGCGATAGCTTTTGCTTCTTTGCCTGCATTCGGTGCTCATGAAGTTCCGCAGGGGTGCCTGGTACGCTCGTCCTATTCCAACAACTCCCTCCTACTCGTTGTTTTTACCCACTCTAAACTTCGGTTATGTAACAACCATTAACACAATTATTTAAGTCTACTTTAAAAAAAATTCTATTACGTTAGTGGTAAATTACGAATGAGTTCAGTGTCTTCTTGGATCAGATGCCTTATTTCACGAAGTTTTCGACAATAAAATAATTAAAAAAACGAAATGATCCAATTAAATTCTCATTGGTTGCGATGTTCGAAGAGTCGAAATGATTATCCTTATCAGCCAGCTGATCCAACATTCATAGATCTTGTAATGTGACGAGTATAACCGGTGAAGGACACAGTCATGCGATCTTATCCAATCCGCCGAATAGTTAGGGTGGTTTAAAACAGCTTCAGGGCGCACGCCTACGGAATTCTAGATTCCGAACACATGCTTCGTGTCTGTCGTCGATGACGTTTAGTCGGAGTTTCGCTTCCGTCTCGTTGATTCTTCGTTACGATTCAGGCTCGGGATCGTATCTATCTGAAGGATGTCGTCTCTGCAATCGTGCAATCAACGAGGATATATTCCTCCGTCGAATCGTTTAGATTCGCAGCTGTGATCATCAATTAGAAATCAAAGGTAATCCCTCTGGGCCAGACAGAAGAATGTTGATAGGACGTCGAGGATTCAACAGGTACTGTTCGGAGGGAGTCTGAATTCGACGCGTGCGAGAATGTTAACGTAGCTTTTCATTCTAATAAAAAAAAAAGGCCCCGCGTTTTACGTAACACTGTTTCAATAATTGCCACCTGAATCTTGCAAGCTGATCCAGGATAAAATAACGTTGACCTATTTGGGCCCGGTGCTTCCTCCAACAAACTCCACTGCAATGAAGCGAAATTAAAGACCAACCGAGTGCATCAGTGCAGAAGAACTTACGGATTTGCAAGTGCGCTACATGAAAACGAACGATGAAGCGCTATCGAATTTGGAGCCGACCAGCGCGGATAAAGCGGACAAGAATGAAGAACAATCTGTCGTGCACGAACCGTTGGATTTAATCGCCAAATCGACACCAGACATCGATGTATCGGATACGAAAGTAATTCAAGGTGTGATACGAAACTTGTCCTTTAACATACCTTCGCTAACATGTATTTTAACATTGTTTCTACCGTGCAGAAAACCCTCAATTCAGCCTGGAACTTCCGCCGACGTTACACGAACGGTTTATGCGAATCAAACAAATGGTCAAAGATGCCGTAACTGCACATCACACGTTCATGATTTACGGAAGGGCGCGAGTGATTCGGGAATGTATGCTAAAGCGAGGATGGTGCGAAAAGTTCTTCAGAAAGAACGGTATCAATATCTTTCTTGACTTCAATGACATTCGTCTTATAAAATATAATAAAATATATGTCATAGATGACGACCAACGTGTTAGATCTTTCTTCCTCATTAGATTTTACCTTTGATACATTGTACAAATTGATTTTCCAACAGCCGAGCAACATTTGAACGTGGACGCAAGTCCTGTTGTATTGCTGGCTGGCATCGGCGATTTGAAAGATCAGCAAAGCGAACGCCAATTGATCTCTCGAATGCTCACTAATCACACCGTGGACTTCCTCTGGAACACCGGATCGGACTGGCCCGGTTGGCCAGCGCAGGACAATAAAACAACGATTTTTAACAGATACTGCCGGGCAGGATTCACCTCGAAGGTACCTGAAATGACCTCGGTTGATTTCTTTCAGTCAGGCGCACATCGAACGAGAATAATACACGCTTGTAAGAAAATCGATTGCCTTAGGTGGGTTTGTGTTCGAACGTCAGACAAATGCACTGGTATTACGAGGCTGGAGTGGCGAACACCCTTTTCCCACGTTGCTACAATTTATGCCAGGGCGATCAGATGCACGCTTTCATCGAAGATTTTCGGTGAATCATGCCTACTATTCGCAGAAATCCAAGTCGTATATATATATATATTTTTCTTTTTTTCTTAACATCTTCACTTATATTTCCGATTCATTCCTGTAGATTCACAGCGTGTCTAGGCCTGTTAAAATGGTTAGTTAGCAAGATCAACGATGAAGGTGAGAGCGCGGTTAGAGCAGCGACTGGCACGGTGCCTTCGAAGGCTTTAGAATTTGCGATTAAGCGATGCAGCGACTACATCAGTGCACAATCGCACGAGGATATCGATCAAGAAATGGAAAGGGTCTGGGCGCATCAGTGGGATCAGTTCATCAGCTGGTACTATCAGATCGTTCACGGTCAAGCTCTTTTCATTCGAAACAACGTGCCATTTCAAGTAAGCGACTCGATCTCCGTCGACATCGCTGAGAAGTAACGTCACCGGAACTATATTAATTTAGCACGGTGTGAACAGAAATTCTTCTTGGCGTCGAAGCATATCTTGAAGAAGATGAAGAAGTACTGGCCACAGATCGACATGGACGGCGTGATGAACGTGTGGATCATGAAACCGGGAAACAAAAGTCGAGGCCGAGGAATCGTCCTCTTAAACAAATTGGAAGATGTGATGGTGAAGATGAACCCATCGAATAAATCGGACACACGTTACGTTATACAGAAGTACATTGGTAACTGCTGCAGCACAATACAATACCAATCAGCACGTTGAACTGAAATTTAATAAAGCAAGTTAATGCCCTTTCTTCACAGAACGGCCATTGCTGATACATAGCACTAAATTCGACATCAGACAGTGGTTCATCATTACCTGCGCTCAGCCCCTGACTCTCTGGATATACAAGTAAAAACTTCTTTTCGCTACAATTATCGTGGATTAGTTATTTGAAGATATATACGTAACTCGAAACGATTTGTTCGTTTCGTGTCACGTTATCTCGTGCTTGCAAAAATCTGGGTCGTTTAATTGCGCGCACAAGACGCATTATCGTATCGCAATTATCGTCAACGTGCATCTTAAATAGTTTAGAAACTATGAAGGATCCACTTTTTCGGTACACATTTAGAATTACAGTAATTCGCTGGTTTTCCAACTAACCTGAGGCAAATCGTTCACCCGCGAGTTCACCTGCTGTGAAATTGATCTTTCCTAACCCAGTTTGCGCAAATGGCTTTCCTATTACTGTATCCATCGAATGATATATTCGACATGCGAGCATCGAAGAAACTGATGATAACACATTACGTATGCTCTTGCGCTTGCAGAGAAAGTTATCTGCGATTCTGCTCGCAGAAATTTAGTTTGACGGACTTCCACGAGTCGATTCATCTGTGCAATCACGCGATCCAGTGCAAGTACACGAACTGCGGCGATAGGAATCCTGCGTTACCCTCGGACAACATGTGGGATGCCACGACCTTCAAGGAGTTTCTCAAGTATGAGAGCGTTCTTGCTTCTATTCAGTCGCGTGATCCCACTGAAATTCCCAAACTGACGCAAATCCTCCGACGCAGATCCCAAGGACACGACAAAGCGTGGGACGATATCATTTATCCTGGCATGAAGCAAGGCCTGGTCGGCTCTTTGTTGGCCAGCCAAGAAGCCATGGACCGTCGGAAAAATAGCTTCGAACTGTACGGCGCTGACTTTATGGTTATGGATGACTTTTCCGTATGGCTGATCGAGATCAATAGCCACCCTGACATGAGTTACTCGAGCAAAGTCACCACACGCCTGTGCAGGCAAGTTCTGGAGGACACCATAAAAGGTGCTTGAAACTTTCGATTTGTTCGAAACTTTCGATTGCTAAGATTGTTCTTTCTTTCTTTCTTTTTCTTTTTTATTCCTTGCGGTTT